TCTCTATTTTTATCATTTTAATTTTTTAGAAAACTAATTTAATAGGAATTGACTTATCATAATTATGTATAACCTATTAATATAGACAATATTTTATTTATATTTTATATTATAATAATTACGATGACAAATTTAATTTTTTAAATTAAAAAATTAACAATATTTATACTAAATGATTTTGTTGCAATTTTATATTGTAATTAAAACTAATTAATTATAATAATAAAAATAAATTAAACATTATTAAATATCATAAATATGAAAATGAATATAATTTGTTATTTATCTTTAGGTAATCGTTCAATTTGTATATTTAATAATTTTATATTATAATGAATGAATATTAAAGAAAATATAACGTTTTAACTCTAAATTAAGTTCAGATTTTAGATTCAATTTTTATATATCATTTGTTTCAAAAGTTAACAAATATTTTTCTTTAAGTACTTTTAAAATTTTATGAGTACGAAGTTTAAATCTTGATAACTACCGAAAGGTTTACAATCTTTATATTATAAAAATTTTTAAAAAAATATTCTTTATATTAACGTTTCAAATTATATTTATTTATCGAAATTCCATATTCTCACTATATAATTATTCAAAATTTTTCTATTGAAACACAGGTTCAAATGTTTTTGAAAATTTTTCTAAGAGTATTCAGTTACAAACGCAAAGAATCATGTTTTTTAATAGAAAAATTTAGTCATTTTATGTATTTATAATTAGTTATTAGGATATAAATTAAAATACAAATATTATTCGTAAAAATATTAATTCAATATAATTTTTTTATTAATATAATTATTTATTATATTATATTTTTAAAATTATATATTTTTAATTTTAAAAAAATATTTAAATCAAGTTCACTAAATATTGACTTTTTTTTTTGGTAAAACTAGGTGACCTATCAAATATCAGACTACAGAGATAGATATAAGGATATCACACCAAAATTATATCTAAAAGCAATTATCAAATCTCAAATGCATTAAATCAGCATCAGAATTGTTAGAACACATCTAATTTTTTAATGACAATATAATATTTTAACGTGTTTATATTAAAGTTATATTTATATATTTTAAAATAATTACAGATCTAATAATAATATACTTTTTTTACTTATATTTAATTTAATCTACATATTTCTTTTCATCTAGCATTTTTATTTTTATTTTAAATTTTATTTAAATTAATATTTGTTTTTTAATAAATTTTTTAAAATATTATTATATCATTAAATTACATAATTTCATTTATTTTTATTAATTCTTATTTACAATGATAAATAATAAATAAACCATATTAGTTATTTTTAAAATTAAAAATAAATATATAAAAAATTGATAAATTATTATTTTATTTTATGACTCAAACAACATATTTTTATTATACTTAATTAGTTACTAAATAAAATTAATTTATTTATAATGTTAATCAATATTAATTCTGTTGTGTTATCAAACAATATAAAATAATTTAATATTTTAAAAAAACTCAATTCTATATGTTTTTTTTATTTTTATCAACAAGTAAACTTCTAAATTCAGAATATATATTGCATTATTATTAAGTTTTATTTATAATAATTTTGTATAATAATTTTTTTATATATAAATATTTTAATATACTTTTATTTTTAGATATTAACATATATATATATATATTAATATTGAAATAAAATTTTTAAAACTTCATATATTAGTTTAATAAATACAATTTTGTTTGTACATATTAGTCTGATGAGTTATTTTTAAAAAAATATGATATTATCTTTTAAAAATTATATAATAAAATTTTATTAGTAATTTTAAATTATAATTATAAATAAATAATTTATAATATATATTTAGTTCAACAAATATAAACAAATACATATGTAAAAAAACTATAAAGTCTTTTATTTATATTTTATAATTTAGATTAAAAAATTGTTATATTTAATAATTTATTGTTATAACTATTTATTTTTAAAATTTTATAATGATGAATGATTTATGATATTATAAAATAATATAAATTTTAATCTTACATTTTAAAAATAAGATATTGTATGCTATTTAAAATTAATTTCTTAATTATATTATAAATTATTTTTTAGTCTATCAAACATTCTAATTTGATATAATTAATTTTAGAAAATACTAAATTATATATATATTTTAATTTCACAATACTATTCTAATATGTATGATAATTTTTGTAAATAAATTTGTTTATGTAACATTATAAAAAATAATATATTTTAATTTACATACATTAAAATATTTTTTTATGTATTTATACTGAAATTTTTATTATCATAATTTTTAATAAAATTATAACAGTAATAAAAAAATTTATAAAATAAAATATTTGTTAATATTATTATTATTATTTTATTAATTTAAAGAAATTTAGAAAATTTGTAAGTAGGTTAATATTTATTTATTTATCTTTTAAAATTTATTTATTTTATTATATTTTAAAATAAATAATAATATGTATGATAATATATATATATATATATTTAAAATTTATTTATTTATTTATTAAGCTTTTTTAAAATACAACATATTATTAAATCTATTATTATATTAATAAATAATTACTAAATGTTAATTCACTTTTTTTTTTTATATTTTACAATCATATTATCTGTTAAGATTTACTTGTCCATATAAATATATTTATTTTTAAAGTTGATATTTTTTATTTTATTTTACTAAATTTTATTATATATTTCAATTTAATATTAAAATTATATATTTTATATTTTAAAATAAATTAATTTAATAAAAATAAAATAAACCTATAAAACACAAATATATTTACTAGTTATAAAAAGGCTCCACGTCAGCTTCCCCTTATAATTGTCGGCCATTTGTCCCTTCTGCCGTTGCCCATAGGATTTTTCTTCCCTTAACCCCAGTTTCAAATTATTTTTTTCCAATAAGAGTCAAAAGGTAGCAAGTTGGAAAGTAAACGAGAACAGGGAATGTGTGAAATTAATCCTTATTTTATAAATCTTAGAAGAGTTTACTTTGTGAGTTTATTTTGCTAAAACTGTGATATATTAATTATTAATTAGACGTTTGATTTGTTTGTATTAATATAATCTTATTTCAATAAAAAATCAAATTATTAGTATAAATATAATATATTTACAATGTAATACATCACAGAAATAAATAATCTTGTTAAGAACAAAATTTTAAAATTGATGTGCGTGTGTTTACACACACCATCAGGACATTGCACTATTAGTGCAATATAAGTGATAATAGTTAATATACACTTACAATATTTTCTATTCGTAATTTAATTTCGTTAGATAAATAGTACTTTATAATTAATAGAGATAGATAATTCTAATGTATAATACTTTTAGGACAAATTATACTTATGTTTTACTACTTGTAACACTTTCTTAACATATATCTATTTTTTTTATTATTCCTCCTTATACAATTTTATCATTAATTCTCATTATTCTTTATTTATATTTGATTTAATTATAATTTTAGGGTCATTAATATGATTTTAATTAACTAGAATTATACCATTTTTCAATTTAATCCAAAATTTGCGAAAGTTTGGCGATTAAAAATACAGGTTATAAAGTTGAGAAACTGTAAAGAAGTAAATTAAGTATAATTTATCCTATTTTTAAAATTCCTATAAGACATGCTTTTGCAGTAATTTTCACACTATCATTGTTAACGTTCGTGTTAGATAAAAAGAATGGAATTTATTACAGAATCAACTTCACTGAAAGACCTAGGAACTTGGAAAGACCATATAAATCATATTATGAGGAGTATAAACGAGTGGCTGAGTAGAATGAGAGGGAAATATGCCCACTCGTTTCCTATTTTACATTTATTATTATACATTTAAATTTGTATTTAAATGTCTTTTTAATTATAATATTTGCATTAAATTTATGTATTTAAATGTCACTTGGTTGTGTTCTTTGGCCAAATTTCCGTTTAAACCCAAAGTGGGCCGGGGTGTTAAGCTATATAAAAACTTGAAATGCAGACGAAGCACAAAAGAACAAAGTGAAGAAAAAAAAAATGGAAAAATCTTCAAATCAGAGACGCAATTAAGGGACAGTCTAACAACAAATGGGGACACCGTGCCCTGACTGATGGACTTTCAAGTACAAAGGGAAGTTTGTTTGGTGATGACTTTGGTCTCCATAACAATGTTTGGCTTTGTGTCGTATATCACATTATTCATTTCACTTTGAAGCCACGCGTGATAGCATCACTTAATAATCTTCTTCTTCTGCTCCTTGCTGCTCCCAAAGGCCAACTCTTAGTGCTTCTCTCCAACACTAGCACTTATTCCACAATATATGTCTCTGCGTTAACAAATGACAGAGACTAGAGAGCTCACTTAGCATGATGTTGATAAAGGAAAGATTCGAAACCATCCACCTCATGCAGATATAAAATCTTAATTACCCAATAGTATGCTAAGGCAAACTAAAAGCTTAGGTAGGCCACTATGGAAAAAGTACAATACAAACATACAATTGCACGAGTCTCATTCTCTACAGCCACCCACATGGGTGAGTACTGAATTTTTAATTAAAGTCAAAAGTACTGTATAAAATATAAATTAAAAATCCAGTGTCCTCCTAGAACTATACTACTTGTAACATGCTTTAGACTTCTTTCGGTTTCCCACTAACAACATATTTGAAGAGAAGAAACTCCAATTTAGAAAATAAATAAGAGGAATTTGAACCGTGATTCATTAATTTCATGGGAACTAATTCCTTTCACAAGACCAGTCCCGTTGGTGTAACTGTTAATTTTGACCTTTCAGAAAATTTAAGCCTAACCTTATTCCGTCTATATGTGATAATAAATTAATAATAGGAATAAAGCATGTGTCTCCTCCAACATACTCCTTTTTTTTCCATTTAAAGGTGGGTGTCAAGAATCAACGTATTAGAATTTCTTAACCTCCCAATTACAAGGGAAAAAGGAAAACACTTTGCAATGGAAACACTGAGCCACGAGTCTCCTCTCTCTGCTGAAGAAGCCCCTCCAAGACCAAACACACCATTGCAGGTTCCACATGAAAAGAAACAGCAATCTTTAGAAGAAGAAGTAGAAGAGAAGGAGGCAAAGCTAGATACTTCATTGGATCTAAATGCTCCTGGCGATGATTCTGCTCTTGGGTGCAATCCACTTCTCAATCTCATCACCTCCTTGGACATGGATTTGCCCAACACTTCATCAGAAAATCCCACTGGTTCTGATGTAGAGCCACGAGTGTTCTCTTGCAACTACTGCCAGAGAAAATTCTACAGTTCACAAGCTCTTGGGGGACACCAAAATGCCCACAAGAGGGAGAGGTCAATTGCGAAGAGAAGTCAGAGATCAGGATCCCATATGATAGCTTCAGCAACACCTTCTGGGATTCCCTTTCTTCATAATCAGATTCACCACTATGCTACTATGGCCTCTTTGCCTCTCCACGGTGCTTGTAGTGATAGACCACTTGGAATTCAGGCTCACTCGATGATTCAGAAACCTGCTCCTCATTCTTCTTTCAATGGGTTTCGAAGCACTTATGGAAACCATGGTTGGTCAAGACCCCTTATTGATCAACAACCTGGAATAGGGAAGCTAACAATGGAAACTTATCATAAAACAAGATCTTCATCACGAGGCGGTGTAGGTAAATTCGATGTGGTAAAGAACATGCTCAATTCAGCAGCCAATGAAGAAATCAATGGATATCTGGTTAGTGGAATTACTCGTTTGAAGACTAATCAAGAAGAAAGGAAGCACCTTGACTTGTCCCTAAAGCTCTAAAGCATGAAGGGGTTGTGTTACTTCTTGATTAGTAGGGTTAACATTTTGCCAAATTTATTATTTCAAAGCTTGTAATAATGTTAATGTGTAAATTTATTTATGGGAAGATCAAAGTTCTTTATCTGTTAATGTCTCAGTTATTCAACTCCCTAAGGTCAGGTGTGGAATATGTTGCAGCTTTTATGTTCGTTAAGTGCTTTTCTTTCCGCTACATTTTTGTTCTCTATTATGTATTAGTGAAACCAAAGAGGGATTTAACCGTTTAGCATCCTTTGACTCGTTAGTTTCAAATCTGGGCTAGAATCTACCACAAAATTTCCAATTTATAAATCAAATTAGCCCTACTAAAATCATCCACGAAGTGAAATCAAATATGCAAACTCATGCAAGTATAAATATATTTTTAATCCTTTGGTGAGATCATTCTAGTTTTAATATTTTTTAATGATTATGTAGTTCCATAGAATATCAAACACATTGCAATCTCTTAATTAGTCACATTGTTAGAAATAAAAAAATGCAGAATTAAAAAAACGGAGACAGAAACAAAAATAAAATAAAATATCGTAAAATATAGAGAAACACCGCAATATGAGTTAATTCTTGAGAATTTTGATATGATGTATATCAGAATTCAGAAGGGCGCGGAAAAAGGCAAAGTAATACGTTTAAAAATTATTATGATAAGTACCTACGAACCTATTATCTGATTATAAACAATGACTGGGAGTTTTGTCCACACACGGGGATCTATTACCTAGGTTTTAGTATAGGAAGGCATTGTTTGTCCTATTTGTTGGTGCATCTACTCGATCGCAATCATCAAGTGATCTGAAATCTTGGAGAGATTCTTGTGTTCATATTTAATTGTATAATATTATGTTCACATAATAACACTGCAACTCATTTGCATAACGCTTTAAGATAAATACCTAGTACAACATGTTTATTTTCACACGGTTCAATCCTAGCACGTTTCCCATTAATTTTTATCATGGACCCCGCCGAATCTCCAAGAGCATATTTTTTTTCGATTTATTTGTTGATGTTAAGACATGAAGATCTATCTTTTTGATCTCTTAGACCCTTTTACAAGCAAACGTATAGCTACAAACAATAGCTAAGATGAAAGGTTAGCAACCAAACAATTAAATTTTCTTTCGTTAAAAAGATTTTTAAAGTGAATGGAGGTTTTCACTATTTTAAAATCACGACAATTCATTTCAGCAAAAACTTATAATAAAAATATAACTTGTCGAGAATAAAACTGAGATATAAATTGCGAGCAACTGAGTATACATGTTTAATCTCCTTTAACGCAGTTTCTCTCTCTCTCTCTCTCTCTCTCTTTTTTCTCTATCTTTTCTTTTCAGTACGTACAAGGCCTACATGCATTTTCTTTTTTAAAAACTTAATTAGCTAATTCAGAAGTCTATCTTTTAAACTTAAATACAGTGATTATATATAATTTAAATTGTTCTAGAATGTTGTCCATATATTATTATTTTTTTACTACTAAAAATAATAAAACATTATTTCTATTTTTTATCTTTATAATTTTTCATCATATCTTTTGAAAATAATAAAAGCACGTATTCATTTAAATAATGTGCCCATAAACGACAACAGATTTTTCTATCTAATCGAATGAATTAGTTTGTACAAAGTGAATTACCCGCAGTATGAATATGCCTAACTTTTCGAGGAGTTTGCATAAAGGCAAGTGCACAAAACAAAATTGAGAAACATATAATTGACAATTCATTTGATTTTGGCTATGGAGGAAAGAAAATAGTAATATCCTAACGTGGATAGGAATCTTCTGGAGACGATAAGAACTGCAAAATTATCGGTTATGTGCCTGATGACTGTAGTAAGTGCTCAACCGGCATAAACAATGTAGCAACAGAATTTTACAGATACATTGTTGCAAAAACACTGCAGACAAGCGATATTGCATTATTATTAAGAATGTGTGATATTGCTATGGAGGTGAAAAAATAGGCTTTGCTGATATTGCTATCGGCTGGCTTGGAATCTGGGTTCGAATAGTGGAGGAAATTGTGGGCATAAACCTAATTGATGAAGAGTCAAAGCTTCGACGATTTTCTTAAGTGTCCTGGTATCAAAGAATGTGTACCGCCCCGTGATAAACTGCTTAACCACAACAAGGCCTTCCACGAAGCCTTGACGTCTTCCTCCACCTGAAAGCCTAGCCATCAATATCATGCAGTATGCGTTGCTTAGCCCATGCTTGATCTTTCTTTATGATATATGAGTTGCTTACTGCAATAAATAAAAACGGACCAGAGCTCATGGTCAACCTATCGTGTTATAGAAATGCGGAAAACTACTCGTTAAGTAATCTACCTGATATTACCATATTATGCGTTGCTGTCAATGTTTAAATCAAGGAAACACCTTGAATGATATTTAACTATATGCTGGATTGATTGCTGAATGGATCAAATATCTGGGTTGATGATGGACCAAAAAGCTTTAAAAAATCTCAGCACTGGACTTCTCAGTACCATTCGTGCTCCTCTTGCTTCAAGTCTTAAAACCTGAACACGTATCGACAAGATGCATGAATTGAATTTTTCCAAGAAAAAAACATACATGCTCAACAGGAAACAAGTAGGAATTTGTCAATTAAAATGAAACCCATTAAATGCTACAAGAATAGAAGTTTTTGATCATTCTTCCAACATTTTGAAGATGGAAGAGGTCAGCTCATCGTCAGAAAGGTGCAGTCCACGCAATACAGTGATAAACTTGGAAGACCAAAATTGTCGGTACTAACACAGTTGTTGCAATTTTCCCTTCAAAATGTTATCCAAAACACTGCCCAGCAATGGACATCTAAAGACACCCTGGTGTTCTCCCAAATAAGTTGCTCTCATGGCTAGGCTTGTTTATCTTTCCAGTTCTCTATTACCTTGGAGTAAATTTCCTTTGGCTATGTATCTCAATTTGAACACTAAACGCTGAGTTGCAAAACATAAACACAAACAAATGTGTGAACATAAACAAAGAATATTCATGTATATAGAAATAAAAAAAGGGATTAATTTTAGAGGAGGCAGACAACTCAAGAAACTAAATCTTATAAATAGAATAGTACAAACAGATATCAACATCACCAGGCTTTGTTACTTTATGCCACTGATTCAATATGAAAAGGTAAAATGAAAACAATAGGTGTTGCAAATCTTGGTTGATGGTCATACCACTATGCTATAGGCATGGGAATCTAATAGCCCTGAAGCTATAACTTGCATTCAAGGGTGCTAAAATTCCATGCCTTTTCAGCATGGTAGCTGAAGATTGTAGAAATCTATCCCGTGAAGCCCAAAGATTAGGAACCAGATGATTGCCTATTTGAAATAGCGGCCATCCAAATAAATAACCAGTTAGAAACACCCTAAAATAAGAAACCAATTTAAAAATAAGTGTGCCATTATAACCAATTATTCTTAACGGTTTGGATTTTTTTTAAGTGATTTTGATTTGGATCACCATAACTGGATTTTTTAGACGCCCCTACTGACACACATAAGCAAGCACTCACAAAAACAAAGAATGAGCTATATTATCCTAATTCCGTCATCTATAGCCATCACCAAAACCAAACTCAAGGAAAGAGAAATTGCATGTCAATCAACATTCATCTCTTTAAAAAAATATTGATAATAAACAAATCAGTCATTTGCTCAAGTTGAAAGGGTTATGGTATTCTGTTTCCAAAATGAGTGAGGTAAATAAAAGTAAAAACAAAAGGTAATAGGGATGAGGATGAGGTTTTCTCACCAACTGCAGCTTTTCCACCTTCAATTGCCAAGTAGCCCATCCTCTTTCTCAGATTCTGAAAACTACCAAAAGAATGAAGTTATTGATTTATTTATTTATTTTTATTTCTAGTTTCAAGAATTGAAAAGTTGAATGTGGAAATTTGCACATCAAAAGTATGATTGGAATGGAGGAACCTATTTATTTAGTTTTTAAAGTTAGTAAAGAGCTTAACAAAACCCTTATAACAAACCATATTTCAATGAAAATTGAGGGAATTGAACATCAACATGATTAATAAAAGAGCTCACTACTTCCTTCCTAACAAAATTGAACTTGTGAAAATATGAGTATAGATGTTGGGAAACTTTATGAAGTTACATTAAGTCCTCCTTCCAAGTTTTATGGGACAATGTTGTATGAAAAAAATTTAACTTGTTTATTAAGGAGAGGAATTACCCAAGTATGGAATTGACTTCAAGGTTACTACTTCACCTCCTGGCACTTCAACCTGAATGGAGCTTACAAAAATATGAGTATAGATGTTGAAGATCTTCATGGAGGTACATGAAATCCTCCTTCCATGTTACGACGTGCAACAACAAACTGATGGGGGGATGCACAACTTGCAACAAGCAAACAGAAAATCTTAATGGATTGTTGTTACCTACCTAGTGAAGGCTTTGAGAATGGAAAGTGTCTCATTATCCATCACAACTTTATCTTCATCCATCATTTTAAGGATATGGAAAGGTGGTTTGTTTGCAGAGAGGTGCATTCTAAGCAATATTTTATACAACGATAAACTAAAAAGACCAAAATTATGGATGTCTGTAATATACTTATTAGCATATTCAAAGTTCCCATCTTTTCCCAAATACTCTGCAATGGCTAAAACAAGTCCATGTGGTGGCCTCCAATGACAATCTTTCATCATAGTCAAAGCTCTTTTCATGGCAATAATAGCCTCATCCATTTTTCGCCTATTGATGTATCCTTCTATGAGAATTTCCCACGTTTTGTAGTTTGGACAACCACCCTTCTGCAATGTCTGGAGATGCAATGATTCAGCTTCTTCCATTAATCCATTCCGCACATATGCACCCAAAAGAACATTAGAGACTCTGATATCATACTTCAGACAATTAGACTCCCATTCTAAGAAGATTCTCTTGGCTTGTACAATGTCCCCAAGTTTCACCAAGCATGTTAATATGCAAATGTAGTTGGCACAACTCATTCTTCTACCAACTGCCTTACTAGCTTCCCATAACCGCAAGACTCCTTCCTTTTGCTTCAAAGAAGTATATAGTGTTATTAGGAAGAAATAACCAAGATGGTTACTGGTAGATAGTTTATTTTCAGCAATTTTGAGAACCTGAACAGCTTTCTTAGATTGTCCCACTTTCTTATAAACATTGGCTAATGTAGCAAGACTGCTCCATCCAACTTCAACAGTCTTGTCATTTTGCATTATTCTAAAAACTGCCTCTACTGCTGCAACCCCATATCCTTCTTCCTCACCACAAGCATTCATCCAAAGGTTGTAGGATAGAACATTGCAGGATACTTTATTATGCATCATTTGCTGGATAACAAGGGGTACCTTCCTGTACTCACAGGTGGCTAGATATAGTTTCATCATCTCATTATAAGGGTGAGGGCTCACCACCAGCCCCAGTTCATAGAGCTTCACCATGAAAGTCTCAGCTTTACTAGTGTCCTCTCTGTTATATAGCCACGTAGAAGGGTGAGACAGGCAACTTTCTTTGCAGCAGAGCCAGGTATATTCATAAAATAGTCTTCAGCTTCCATTAGACCATAATTTTTAATGATCAATTCCAATTTCATAGCATGGTCAGATGGGATCACATAGAACTTCTTCTGGTTTTCCATCCATTTAAACACCTGTGTCAAAGAATAATTAAGAGGTTTAAATTGCCAAACAAATTGAATAGGCTGTTTATAAAATTCATAAATTGCATTGCAATGACTTGCTCATCACAGATTGAAAAAACCCATAATCAGCAACCGTATGTTATGCAATGCCTTAAGTAGTCAATCCTGGAAAGTAGGGCAAACTGGCTCACCTGAAAAACACTAATGGTAGAGTGGATTGCATAGCTGCCACTACCAAAAATATATGATACAGTGCAAATAATTTATACTACATCCATATCAATGCTAAAAACTATAAAATTATTCAAATTTTAAGATATACTCATCATTATTGCTCAAAACTCATAACTTAAAAGGTACCATCACAATTAAATGAAGGTATAACTAAATAAGTCAATAACAAAAAGAAGCATATAACAAAATAAAGAGTACAGTACCAAATTCTAAATAAGTTTCTGCACCAAAGGCATATGCTAAACCTCATGCTGGTAGTAACAACCATAAGCAACAGTTCCCCTAATTCATCAATCAAACTCATCATCCCCCTAGGAAACCAAGTATTTTTAGGAAAGAATAATTTAGGATATTTGTTTAATTTTCTGTATAGATATGTAAAATGTATAATTAGGAAAGAGTCCATGATTCAAGGGATACTAGATTAGAATAGGGAGTTATTATGTTTCTTCTGTCCACTACAAACAATCTTAAGCTGCAAATTTTTTGTTATCTCTCCTTTGTCCACATTCATTGTACTTATAGAGGGAAACTTGATTCTAGATCCTTAAGATATATCTTTGTCGCTTACTCTTCCACCCAAAAGGGCTATAAATGTTACCATCCACAGTCTAAAACAATGTGTGATGTCACCTTCAATGAAGAGAGCCATTTTAGTAAACCTTATCTTCAGGGGGAGAGCTCTAGGGAAGATAAGGAGACTAATTCTCATCTATCCATTTTGCCAGACCTGACATTTGAACCCATACTTGATTAATTTGAAAATGAAGGGAAAGTCATTCAAGAAAGTGAAAGAGGCCAAGAAGAAGCGGTCTAAGAAAATGAAGACGATCATGATTGTGTCCAAGCTGAGAATGAAAAATGCCTATTCAACAGCTTGAGAGGGAATGTGGAAAACTGAGTATTTTTAGGAAAGAATAATTTAGGAGATTTGTTTTATCTATACAGATATGTAGAATATATAATTAGGAAAGAGTCCATGATTCAAGGGATTGTAGAATAGCATATGAAGTTATTATGTTTCCTAAAATAAGTAAGTCTGTTGTATATATTTTTATAATGTCTTAATGAAATAATATATAGATTTAACCTATTCTTCAGAATCCCCAAGGTCTTCTAACCTTTCTTCATCATTATCCTTCTGACGCAAAAAGGATAGTAAATCACGAAAATATCCCGGACAAATGTGAGCCGAAACTCAGAAAAGCGAGGGAAAAGTCGGGATTTCACTCCCCACACTGTAGCGGCCGCGATTAACTATTCTATTCTACTTCAGTTTTGCAAAAATCACAGATAGGAAAAGTAAATCGAACCTCGAGGGCGTGGTGGTAGCGCTTCGATTTAACAAGGTTTCTGGCGATGCGTCTGAGCTCGGAGGGTGAAATCCTGTTTCCTTGGTCCACCCAATTTTGAAGCGCTAGCACTGGACTCTTCTTTGGTGATCTGAGTCCTGGAATTCGGTTCTTCGGGTTGTTTTGCGCGAAAGGCTCCTCCGTCGCATTGAACGCAGAAGCGCGAGATGCTGTGGTGCTACATAGACTTCGTGCACCGAACACACAACTGATGCTGCCAAATTTTGCAAGTTTAGCTTTATCATAAAAATGCGGGAAAAGGAGAATAGGTTTGGCGTACCGTTTGATTCCGGCGGAGAGGAAGCGGTTCGCCATCTTGAAGCTACGGCGTCGCCGATGACAGGAGATGGTCGGCGCTGATTGGTTCACGTTGGAGAGGATATCAATTTGCCGCTAAAACGCAAACAGCAAACCGACCCGGACCATTAAGTAATAATGTCGGGTTTACCAGGCTTTTATAGGTTTGGCAAAGGGGATTCAACTCGTCAATTTATGTTAATATTTAACAAAATTAATTATTTATATTATTTAAATTAATTTTACTTTTACTTTTTATTATATATTTTGTTTACTTTATTTTTTTTTATTCTGAGTTAACCAGACTCATCTCAAAAGTGAGGCAGGTTACTAGTTTTTGATAGATTAAAATGAAAGTGAATTATCTTTAATTTTTTAATGATCATCCTTCTCTTACTCATAATATTAAAATAATTTTATATTTTTAAAAATATTTAATGTTCTTAAATATTTTTTTATGTTAATTATTATTTTTAAAATGTTATTAAAATAAATATTTTATTTGATCTAGGAGGAGCTAGAGAGGAAATCAGCAAAATTTCAGCAACAAAAACCTTCAGAGCGTTTTGGATAATCTGAACACCCAATCTTCTGCTAGAAGTTAGCAGTTTGAAGTTTATCCAACTCCTGTGATGCATATTAGGAGAGTAACACCACCACCTGAAATAGGATAAAAAATCAAAGTTGGATAAGATCTGATTGCAGATTGTAAAATTAATCATAAAAATGTCAGTATCAATATTTTACCTGGAACTATGCCCTCCTCTACAGCTGCCTTAGTTGCATTTAAAGCATCTGTCACTATATCCTTCTTCTCACCAACTTCAGCCTCGCTGGCTCCGCCAATCTGCAAAGGAGCAGTTTCAAATGTTAATTTTGCCCTTGTAGAAACTTGTTGGGATGTCCACTGGCGAAAGAAAACCATTAAAAATCACGATTTACTTAAGTAGGCATACCTTAAGCACTGCAACACCACCAGAAAGTTTGGCAAATTTTTCCTGTAATTTTTCCTTGTCGTAATCTGAAGTGCTATTTTCAATTGCTGACCTAATCTGTCGTCAGAATTCATCACTAACAAGTCACATGCATCATCATTAAACTTGATGATCATAGGACGAAAATGGAAAACATGAACCATGGAAAAATCAAATCTATAGATCAACTCAAACGTGTTCACATCTTTCCTCAATTGATTTCTTGTCACCTGCTCCATCAAGAATGACAGTGTCATCCTTAGAAATGGTTATCTACAACATTAAGAGCTGTGGTTAGTTGTCTACAATACATTAATGATTTACCCTACAAATTGTCAGGGCAAGAATAGAGGACAGTTTCATTGGAAATTTATTCCAAGACTATGGATACAGGAAAGCCCGACAAGAATCAGCAAAAAACATTAACCCATCAAAACAGTAGCAAAATTCTGAGGGACTCAAATGCATTGCAAATCAAGCTAAATCTTACTTTTTTGCAGGTGCCAAGCATATCCAGACCCACCTTCTCCAGCTTCAAGCCAAGCTCTTCAGTAATAAGCTATTAGGATACAGAAAAGGCATTGTTAACAAGTTGACAAGATATGAAGCAGCAGTAACCTCAAAGAACAGTGAACTTACTGCTCCTCCTGTGAGAACTGCAAGATCTTGAAGACCAGATTTCCTATTTTCACCAAAACCAGGGGCTATAATAGCACATACCTACAGCAAAGCATCAGATATAACAATCAACCCAGAACAATCAAAGATCCAAATTTTTAGGAACTTAAAAACTAAAATCCTAACCTACAGAAAGGCAAAACACACCTTAATTCCAGCACGAAGCTTATTTAGAATAAGAGTTGCAAGTGCATCACTTTCCACATCCTCGGCAACAATCAATAATGGTCTTTGTCTCTGGAGACGGGTAGGTGTCAGATAATGCCAATAGTTTAAAAGTCAAAAGATAAAAGAAAGTGAATGACACCGCTCACCTTCAAAGCCAACTCTAGAACTTTTAACTACAGCATTAATACTTGATATTTTTTTCTCATGGATTAGAATGAGAGGATCCTCAAGTTCCTGTTGGCACAAGACATGCCTTTGTTAAAAGGGTATAAAAACAATTTTCATGAACAAGGCACTTAATAAAATCCTTGAATAAATACTCTGATGTTGTGAATGTGAAGTAGAGGTAAAGAAAGAGCGTACACATTTCTGGTTTGTAATGAAATAAGGAGATATGTAGCTCCTATCAAGCTTCATTCCCTCATAATGAAAAGAAATGACTCCATAATGGATGGCCAAGATGCAATCTAGAACCATGTGGCGGAGAAAAGAATGGGTACAAAAGAAAACTTCAGAAGAAACCTCTTGGGGCATTGAATTATCAAGACTATTAAACAACCCCATCCCTTTTTCCCAGAAAAGAAAAATAAATAACTGTCTTTCCATGTGTAAGGTAAAAGGCATAAAATAAATATCAATAAGATGATCAGATAAAAACTTACTGCAATTGTGATTACTCCCTCTTTGCCAACTGTCTCCATAGCTTTTGCAATCAACTCACCAATTTCCCTCTCCCCATTAGCAGATATTGTCCCAACCTATCAAAACAAATTCAAAATTAGAAATCCAACAACAACTATATAACAAAGCCTTATCGGTGAGGTCAACTACATGGATCACTTGATGCCACTAGACTCAACTGAAAACCCAAAGAGTCCTTATTAGCATTTCCTGCAATATTGGAGAGGAGGCACTAAAAAAGTTTGATTCGCAAACCTGTGCTATTTCTTCAGATTTGCTAATCATCAGTGCTCTGCTCTTCAGGTTGGTCACCACAGCATCAACAGCCATAGTTATACCACGCCTCAGCTCCATTCCAGCAGCAACTGATTTGCATCCTTCAGTAAATATTGCTCGAGTAAGGACTGTTGCACATGTGGTTCCTGTAGAACATTTGAAATGCTCCCTCATTATTCTGTCATCATGACATCATCAACCTAACTGCATAATACCAGCACGCTGAATGCTAGTATATGGTTTTCTAACATCATTGGCACAACTTAAGATGGAAGCCAAACTAATTCAATAATCACAGAACCATGCAACCTAGCATTGTGTAAATAACACAGTAACCAATGGTGAAAATTTAACTATACAGAAATATATTCTTCCGATATATCAGCTTACCATCACCAGCCACATCACTGGTAGCATTTGCAACCTGCTTTACAAGACTGGCACCAACATTCTTAATTTTATCCTTGAATTCAATGCTCTTGGCAACAGTTACTCCATCTTTGGTCACTTTAGGGGCACCAAAACTTTGCTCAATCACCACATTACGGCCCTAAAACATAATAAACTATACATCAACACAAAAATATCGAATGATGGCATTACACACTCAAAACAAACACATTAGTATGGTTCATTCTTCTGTTAAATAGTGATTCTTGTTCCTCAAAAGAGCAAGAATACACTTCATAAGGATCAGGGATCAGCAATGTTACCCTTCCAACTTTACCAACAATAACTTTCCCCATCCATCAGTATCAACAACGAGTGCAAAAGCAACAAACAATCAAGTGAATTACCTTAGGACCCATGGTTACTTTGACAGCATCAGCAAGCTCTTCAATGCCCCTAAGCATCAGAGCTCGAGCCTCCACACCAAATTTGATGTCTTTGGCCGCATAGTTTCTGCTCCAACTGACCTACACAATGCAGAAAAGGAAGCCATCCATGAAACACAATCTCCAAAACATTTTCAAATGTCAACAAACATTATAAAAACAACAGGGTCTGTTGGTTGTCACTAACTTCCATTTAAATCTTTTTAATTTTATTTTTTTCTGTTGTAACCATATTAATAGTAAGGGTATTTTAAATACTGCAACCATATTAATAATAGAGATATTTTAGATTAAAAAAATCTTAAATAAAAGTGATAACAGTAAAGAAAAATGGATTGGTGTTCCACCTGATGGCTGCTATTCCTAGCAATCCTGCAACCAAAAAAACAAGAATTAACATTTAGAAGAACAATGTCATTGTAAGGATCAAAGAGACAATTAATTCCAATTGAAAACAAAAAAAAAGAAAAAAAACATAAAAAAAAGAGTGGGATTGAAGAGTGACCTAGCTTTGGAGGCGAGACTAGAAGCCAAGCGATACATGATGTGAATTGCGGAGAGAGAAGTAACCAATGCAGAGAGAGAAACCCACAAACCAGAGGGTGCGTTTGTGTGAAGGGTTTAAGAAATGAAGAAAGCGCTCTACAACAAGCGCCTTCTTAAGGTTTTAGTGTTTGGCAGCTTGTAATATGGACCAGGTTTCCATTGGAACATGATGATTTAACAGTGTACAATATATTACTAAGCAATTTAGGAATAATATTGTAACATGATGTTATAATACAGCTTTTCCATTTAAGGGCATCTTAGGAATAATATACGGAAAATTTATGAAATTTACGACATCTTTGGAATAACTCAAACAATTTATGAATAACAGGTTATCATTTATGAAAGTTATTTTTAGTTTATTTTAAAATAAAATATTTCAATTTGTTTTAATAAAATTTATCATTAAAAAATGTATAAGAATAACTTGTTAAATACTAATTTAACAAATTAAATATCCAATTCCTTTTTTAGGATGATATGAACTTATTTTTTAACATGATTTTTAATTATTTTTAGTATGTTCAAAATTATGTAGTATAAAGTAAAAAATAAAATTTTATTAGATATAAAAATGATCAATGTCTTAAAATCATAAAAAATATTTAATATGATATATAATATCTTAACATATTTAAAATTATTTTTTAACTCAAAAATATGTTTGTACATTGCACAATTTATTTATTTTTTATTAAATTAATTTATTTTAAAATATAAAATATATAATTTAAATATACAAAATAATAAATATAATAAAAAATTTATTTTTCTAAATAAATTATTATTTAAAATATGTATAATTTAGTATTTCTTAGCATAAAACATAATAGCATACAAATATATTATTTTTAAAATACAAAAATAAAATTTATATTATTTTACAATATCATAAATCATCTATTATTATAAAATTTTAAACAAATAATTATAATAATAAATTA